GTATACTTTTTGGCTTATTTCTTTTGTTATACGGGGAGTGGACACTGGTCACCGAGCCATGCTATCGTTTTGCTAAACTTGCAGGCTTTTCGTTGTTTTTTAATTGGTATACTCTTTATGGGTTTAAGTACTGTCTTATACTTACCATTTGTGTTGGAATAATTACCGTCCTACAGGTTGTGTAATACTGCAATTCGTAATTTTTGCAACGTTATGCGATGCTGCAAGTATGAGCGAACATTTTGCTTTTAACGCATGGGTAATGCTGTGTGTAATCATCTGTTTTTCGGTTGTTATCATAAGACTAACTTTGTCCGAAGTTAATTAGTATTAAACTTGCTATCTTGCCTTTCGGATACCTGCCATACAGCATCTTTCGTTATTTCGATCTCAGTTACACTGGTAACCACCTTGTGCCGTGCAATACAGTACGTAAGCCTTAATCCTTAAGGTTTAGCACGTAATATTACGGCGTATAAGTTCATTTACTTTTAATTATGATCGTAGCTCGGTAAAACGATTTGCGAATTCCCTGATTTACTCGCTACAGTAAACAACAACATCGAAATGTTTCACACGCTAAGAGGCTTTTTATAATCGTAGTGTTACTTTAAATATCGCAGTGTCACTTTTGCATAACTCCTTAAAGTAGTTTTTGGTATCATGTATCCATCACATCATTACGGCCCGATCCGTCCATTACGATCCGTCCATTACGGTCCGGTTCATTTTGGACAGTGGGCACACAACTAGTGCATTATAGTTGGTTTTCCCGGGAATCTTATGACTATGTCTGAACAACTGGTGTCCTTGTACTGTATTAGTCAGTTTTACTGCAGGTTGATTAAAATGCAAAAAAAACCTGGAGCCTGCTAGAGACATGGCAGTATAATGCTTACTAATCGAAGATTGTTAATAATGTTTTCTACGGTTTATTGCATATCTCTACGGTACAATGCTCATCGTGCCCCCGAATAGGTCAAGTAATGCCCGAGATGTTGGTTCCAGATCGAATCCGTCAAATGTGGAAAATCCCTGCGGAAGTACTCGTGCGTATCACAATTTGCATTAAATGGTAGCCTTCGCAACTGAGACATCGGTTTAAATAGTCCCGAAACTAGAAAGTGGGAAAGGCCCAGACCAATCTACTGATGGATTCTCCTTTTTTACGTAAAAGTTCTCGGATGACCGTTCGCGGTCTACCAAAACCGTTAATGCGTGACGGTTTGTTAACCAACGGTCGACACGTCGTGATTACAGATTTTAAGCGACAAACTATTTGAGTATATCAAGGAAGAGTGGGAAATATTCGCAGCCGGTAAACAGCGTAAATTTCTTGTATAATTCCATTGCATAACTGATAGCAGCAGATTTCGATTTTTATAACGGCAGCGCCGGCAACCATGAGTATTCTGTCGGTTTCCAACTTGCCATTATCAGAAACCATCCATCAGAGGCCTGCGCCACCAATGAAGGTGCTGCTTTTCCCGGTTTCCAATCACCTACCAGATCACCGCCACTGCCAACGCGGGTTCCGATAAAGTGGTGCAGAAAACAATCATTGTTTTGCATTTTAACATTTCGGCAATATGCAATCTGTGAAAGAGCCCGAATTTCATAATTATCTCGGCATTTCATGCCAACACAACGATTTCGGCGACCACCACTCAAAATGACTCAGCCCAACTTAAGCGAAACGTCCATTAGCTCACCAGTATTGCGATTCTTGCGAAACATCGTCATTAGTGTATTCGGGAAACATTCTGCAAACGCGTGCGTCAGCGCTGAGGTAAGCACCTTAAAAGCCTTAAGGCTTAAGGGGCGCTTATGTTTTTGTTTAACTTTGCTTAAGCACTCGTGATCAAAATATTTATTTCAAAAACTATTTTATTTGTTTATGCTTAGCCGAGTTTTCATTTTAGTGCATATTTACTGTATCTGCAGCTGCAAGTAACTTTAAGGAAAACAAGATTTCTTATTACTCTCTAGGCGTACAGCGATACCTTTTATGGGACGTCTTCGGGAGTCACAGTACTCAGTAATAACATTTTCGATGTTCGCAAACTTCTACGACAACAGGCGGAAAATAAAAATTATACACCTATGCAGAATAGTCACAGGATAAGGATTTTCTTATATTGTTTCACAACAACGTAACAAAAGTAGGCTCACCATCCGAAAGTTTCGATATTACGTAGTATGATCAGGCAGTCTCAAGCAGCTAAATCAAGACAGTATGAAGAATACGAAAACCGATAAGCAACAAGCACATTATGTATTTAACAAAAGGAAGCTCGGCTCGGTGGTAAAGCTGTCATTTCCATTGCAGCAAAATGACAAAAATGTAAAGCAAACACACCAGCGATTTCAGTGATTAAAGCAATCACACAACATTATCCAGTTTGATGTCGATATCCTTCTTATACTGGGAAATGTCGCCCTTTCCCTGCGCCGCTGCATGCAGGATGTTATTGCGATCGATGCTGTATGTCACATCAAACTGGCACTCGCCTGCCTTCCGCGGGGGCAGATCAGACATAACAAACTGGCCGATGCGGAATTTGTCGAGATGGAATCCGCTTACTCTGATACACAGGAAATGTTGCGGTAGTCTGATTGTCGTATGCTGTGACGGTAACATCCGTAACACTCATAGGATACGCTTTTCCTCGGGGAATCAGGTCAAGGATACGCATATGTCCCGGTCGCTGTTTGTCCACTATCTCCAATCCGTAGTGGTAGGCGGTGATCTCATGGACAGTTGTCGCTTGCCGGTTGTTTATGCGATACGACTGCATTGCCGCGCCCCGCGCAATGGCTTCATCCGGATCGGCGTCCGCACACACCACCCCGTCCCGACCGAAAAACTTCTCCAACGTCTCCTTAACTACAGGCAGCCGGCTACTGCCACCCACCAAGATGACCTTGCTGATATCCTGCGGAAACAGCTTAGCGGCTTCCAGGGCGTTCTTCACGGGAACCAAGATGTTTTCGATCAGCCCGCGGAACATCCCGCTGAAGGTATATTTCGTCAACTCAACATCATAATCAACGCCCTTATGCAGCTTATACAGG